TTTTTTTTATCAAGGAGAGTTAAAGGATACTGAAACTAGGTTTCTTCACCGAGCTAAATCTAGTGAACAAGAGAGCAGTATCTGGTTGCCATGTATCAAGAGCTGTCTATTTCGCAACATTTATAGGAGTAAATTGGGAAAGGTTCTATTTTCCAGGACTAAAGAACTTGTAATTCAAAAAGATGAGTCCTTCAAGCATGTTCACAAGCTGTGATAATAATACGCAGTTTGCGCTGTCGATTTCGAACTTTTCGCGAGCTACATAGGTTTTGGCGCAAGATCTTGGATTGATAGATGATGTCAGCTTCAGCCACCGATTTTAGAAAATTTCTTATGATCATTCAACTTCAACAAGCGAAACGCAGCTTAATTTTAAATATTTTGTAGCTTTCAGCAAATCAACCCTATCACCTCACCACTCTGCTGTAATGCAGACTGTGTTCTATTACTTTATCAGTATTCTGAGCATTTGGTGTAGGCTAAATCAGTAATGTTGTCTCTGTATCTGGAAACACTGTTATCATTTACAAATTTTGAGATTTTTATGTTCAGAATTTGTGATTACTCCGCGAATACAAAGCAGATAGTGGACTTCCATGAGCAGAATCACCATCTGGATCAGTCTATCACTCAATTACGTAGAAATGCGATCCTCGCCCCCGAAATCGTTCAGGTGAAACAGCATTTTCCGCTGCATTTAAATTAGTTATTTACTTAAAAGACGTTTTTACTTCACAAAAGCTAAATCGACTTTATGTATTTTCCAGATGGAAGTAACGTCCAATGACGAAGAGCGTGCCAAAATGGCTGGCCAAGAATTCCGCTGCAAACGGTGCAATTTCCATACATTAGAGATCTCTGTTCTTGCCAAACACTTTGAACAGTGTCACTGTGATACGGAAGCGGATCGGGAGATTGCAGCTGATCTGAGGATGAATTTGGTCCCAGCAAATAGTATTCTCACAACTGCATAGAATTCCAAGATTTATCTGACTACGGAATGAAAATGCATGTTTTGAATTCCTATAAGCTTCAAAAAGAGGCAGCTCTGAAATATTATCTTAATGTAATTTTTAAGTCTCTATTGTACAGGTCAGCTTATAGTGATGTCTTTTTTTT